ACACACACACACACACACACACACACACACACACACACACACACACAGTATACTGTATATGCAGTCATGCAGGTCAATACAGATCAAAAATATGGAGCATCCACACACACACATATAAAGTATGTATGTACACACACACACACGCACATGCAGCCATAAAACACACCAACAGCCACTCTCAGAGTACATTAGTTTTGCTCTACATACACTACAGTACATTGTTCCATCCAATCTTCTTCATCTTTACCCCACTGACCCACAAAATGCACGACAGGGTTTTTGTTAACGAGGGAATGTCCTCCCTGAAGCAGCTTTCTCTCAGATCCACAGAGAATCAGTCTTACAATGATTATCAATGATAATGTATCACTTACATTGTTGGCATTAAACCATTTACTCTTGAACTACGGGAGGAATTAAGCCAGTCCTAATCTACAAGCACTGGTGTGGAAGTTTTCCTTCCAAATGTATTTCTAGTTTGTTGGGGAAAGTTGTGATGTGTCTGTGTGTGAACCTTTGTATGTTTATATACCTGGCGGAGCTGACAGAGGAGACGGTGGAGGTTCCCAGGGTGATGCGGTGCAGCCCGCTCTGCTCCAGCAGAGATGCATTGTGATAGGGGTTCTGAGCCTGAACACACACACGAACACAAACACACACACACACACACACACACACACACACACACACACACAACAAGGTTGAGAGAGTTACTTTAACCATGACACTGAATGGTACAAAACACATTTCCTCCCTCATGATGGCTTTTGAACATGGAAAAAAGTGACCTACTGAATCGTCTGTAGTTACACAACATACTGCACTGTATCAAAGGTCAAAATCCTACTCTCATTATGGGCTACCTTGTGCCTCCGTTATGTTATCGCAATTCACATTGCCATAAAGGACATCTTTCTGATACTGATGTTTTCTATCCATATCACTGAGTACTGTTATAGGTGGCTAAACTTTAAGAACCTTGTCAAGACATCTTTCTTTTTGTCAGCATTCAAAAGCAACCGCCCGTGATATTTTCGCAATAGCGCCCCGGGACTTGTGGGAGCTATTATCTTGACTGAATGCTGACCGGGAAAAAAAAAAAAAAAAGGAGGCTAAGCTAATAGAGCAGAAGCTACTAGCCTGGAAATGGGTCAAGACTTCTGCTTCCCATACTGTAATAGGCCACTGTAGTCATAAATAACGTATCACACAGTAGTAGTAGAGTCAGATTGGCGAAACGATGCGAATAGCTGGTCATTTGTGTCCTATAATACTTTTGGAAAGGATCAGTTATTTTGCCCCACATGTCTCAGTGATGGATAGGAAGAGCTCTCAGAGGAAATGGGGGTTTAAAGGGTGAAATTAACTACGCGTAAACTAACACACACACACACACACACACACACACACACACACACACACACACACACACACACACACACACACACACTCAAC